TCAATTTGCACTATTTCTGGCAGTCTGCAACCCCCCATAGTCTTCTTGGTGATTTACAAGATTTAAAATAATAAAACAGTTAAATCTAAACATCAGATGTTTAAAAGCCCTATCATGATGGAAACAAACTAAATAAAATAAAATCTGTGCCAATAAAACATACCCAGAGCAGAAAACAAAACACTGGTGGTCTTAGAACAGTGGTTCCCAAACTTTGGTCTTCCAGATGTTTTGAACTTCAGCTCTCAGAATTCCTGACTGTTGGCCAAGCTGGTTGGGACCTCTGGGAGTTGAAGTCCAAAACACCTGGAAGACTAAAGTTAGAAATCATTGTCTTAGAATATGGTTTTAAAACATTTTAATATCCTTTCAGAATGGCTGTCAAATGCCCATAAGACATAAAGGAGAATGAAAATGTCTTTACTGGCTGCTGAAAGATTTAGAGCGTAAGTGGCAGATATAGTGCCAAAATCTTAGGACTAATAATAATAATAATAATAATAATAATGCCTGAGAATCAGTGTAGGCCTGAGTGTTGGACTAGGACTCTGGCAGTCTAGGGTCTGAAATCCCCACTTAACCATAGAAACCCAGTGGGTGATCTTGGGCAAGTCACACTCTGTCAGCTTCAGAGGAAGGTAATGGCAAATCCTTTTGAATATATCTTGCCAAGAAAACACTATGATAAGGTTGCCATTACTTGAAATCAGCTTGAAGGTACATAAACAGTATTGACAAGTACATTCTTTGTTCAAATGAAGGCATGGTCAGGGGCCACTGAACAGCATACAATATAGTGATGTGAAATCATTCTCTTTTTCCTCCCCCTAAGAACTCTTCTTTAATCTGTTTGAAATACCCAGGGAAAGTGCAATGATAGCCAGGGCATTAAATAGTAATCAAGATATGCAAATATATCCCTAAATGTGATCTGCTTGGAACAAGTCATTAATCTAGCCGTGGTCAAATAAACACTGCATAATATGGATAATTAATCGGCAAATTAGCACTTGTAGTCTCAGGAGAAAAGTATCAAAATTAAAAGGACTTCCGTCAGAATCTGGCCACCTAATATCAATACCAAATGATACACAACCCTTGGGAGCATCACAAAATAACCCATTTAGTCAACTTATGTGGGTTGTGTTCCAAGTTCATCAATAGTATCTTGATGAAGTACTTTCTGCAATGTGGGGAGATTACTCTGCTCCTCTATATACATCATTGGCTTATGGCACAATGTGAAATGCTGGAATGTCACAAGGTTGGCTTATGTGCCATACTAGACTAATAAATACTCGGATGTAGTAATTCTTACATCCAAGTAACATATTCAAATAAGCAGAATAAGCAGGAATACAAATATATTATCATCCCATTGTCCAGCTCAATAAACCATGCCAATAATTTAGGAAGGAATTAAATATTCTGATATGATAAATGATGTAATAAATGAAACATGGATACAATATACTTTTTCTAGTGGTTCTCAAAGATTGAAGAAGGAGTGGCACAGATCAGAGCACCAAATTTATACATGGAAACTCATCTTCTTGATACTTACTTGGAAAGTTTTAAAACAGAGATGGGCAACTTCTCAGGCTTCAAGAGTATGTTGGTTCTCTTAGAGGCTAATAGACCACATCTGTCTGCTGACAAAACTGTCACCAATATTTCTGTCATGATTTCTAGTGACACAGAAGTCACAATTTCTGCTAGGGAATGTGACATACAGACAGTGCACTGACAAAGTGATTCAGCTGTGAAATAAAGTGCATGTTCCCTATGTGCCATATTTTCCAGTATAATTAAACTGGATATTGCAGCAGGAGTCTGGTTGACATGCAAACATGCTTCATGTAGCCTACCCCTTTTATAGGTAGACATCCCAAAAGCTAAGGAAAAATGTATCTTATTCTTTATATCCAAGAGAGCTTGGAAATTGTGTTTCTTGACTAATAGTAAGCAGGTTTTGAAATTTAGGGGAATTCAAAATAAATTACTGCATCTGAATCTGTGATACATAAGGGGGAGATATCTGTGGTAGACAAAGGGATTTAAAGTGAGTTGGTGTAGACTCCAGGATACCACTAGCCTTAGGAGATACACTAAAAAGCTGGGTTTTCTTGGCTGCTAATGAAGTGTAAGTTTCCACCAGTATACCTATGCAGAAAGTCCAGAAGCTGCTAGCCAGGCTACATTGTGAAGGAATTCTCCTGGTATAGCCCTGGCCAGTCAATGGACATTTGGGTCAGGGGATCAAGCTGTATCTACCACTGTGCAGTTGTGTATCAGTTTTGTTACTGTGCACTTCCAAGTCCTTTCTGATTTATGGAGACTGTTAGAACTCCTGCATACCCCATGCTGTATTTTGGGGTCCTCATATTTTCATATCTCATATCTGGAGATAGCATGTTTTTGAGAGATTGATGACCTATCAGGAACACTAGGTCACTTTCCTGAGGGGGAAAGGAACATGTCCCAAAGCATGTGGACATCCAAGTAATAAGACAAATCTAAATGTGTGAATTAAGTGATCTTTCCTTCTCCCAGATAATCTGCTTTTCCTCTCTCAACTTGAAGCAAAGGATCTCCTCTCACAAACAGCAGTAAGCCAGTCATCTGCCTATCCCCGATTGTGTCCTAGGCTAAACTTCCCTGTCCATTCATCTTGGGGATGTCCTGATTTTGTTACACTAACATTACTGTCATCAAACAGACTAAAATCCCATTGTCAGTTCCTGGGAAAAGACATTTCACCTTTGTAACCTGACCAGATAGCCCATAACTTGAGTTAGCTTTAAGATATAAATATAGTTCAAAACCTAACCTCTGGGCGCACAGCTGACACACACCCCACACTCTGTGTATGTTCTGTGTCACCCTCAGACCTCCCAGTCTGAGCCACTCCAACTTTATATGCTCTACTCATCAGGCTGCTGTTTTCAGCTTGGAGAAATGAACCTCTAGACAGCAAGACTTCACTCCATGAGGGCTTTAATCTTTGTTGCAAATATTTACAAAGATACATAGAGTACTAGACATCCATCTTGAATACTCACAGCCATATAGACCAACGAAGTGCTTCATCAACCACCAACCACAACTAACCAACAACGGAGATTCTGACCATCTCCCATATATAGGTGGTCTTCTTGGTAACATGTGACAGCCATGCACTAATGAAACCTGGCTGGTCTCATCCATTGTGCATGTTGCATCAGACCTCCCATGATGCATACCTGGCTGGTCTCATCCATTGTGCATGTTGCATCAGACCTCCCATGATGCACAGCTTACCAAATGGTGACTCATGCACCTGCCACTTGAACTGTAGTAACCCTGTTACTATTGCTCCAGTTCCTTTTAGTGGCCACATCCATGGCATTTTCCAGGCCAAGGTGCTACCTTGTGTGTGTGATTTCATTCTATATTTTCCTAAATCAAACCCTCTTAATTCACCCAAAATCTGGAGTCCTCCTCAGTTAGTATTGGTATACAAAAGTGCAAAGATTACTCAAGCTTCTTGCAAAAGCTAATTTCCCCAATAGTCAAAGTAATGCTGATAGTTTGTAGGGACCCATCCACCCTGTCTGCCTCAGCTGTTCTTTGGGTAACACAACCCTAAGGCAACCCTTTCTCAGGGTTTTCTTGACAAGAGTTGTTCAGAAAGGGGTTGCCTTTGCCTCCCTCTGAAGTTGAGAGAAAATGTGATTTGCCCAAGGTCGCCCGGTGGGTTTCTATGGCTGAGCAGGGATTCAAACCCTGGTCACCAAAGTCATAGTCCAATGCTCAAACCACTATGCCATGCTGGCTCTTAAATGTGAATCAGTTTAGTAGGTCATTATAGTAATTCAGGCTCTGTTCCTCTTCTATTATCAACACTCTAAAGCCCTTTAGAGTCATTATACACTGCAGAGCCAATCAAACTTGATCTTGCTTCTTAAATTAATATACCTAATGTTTCCATTCACATTCATATCTCTAGCTGCTGAGTACAAAGTTGAGGCTAACATCAACATCAATATTCCAACATCAAAAAAATAACTGTGCCCCACAATGTTTGCCATAGAGAGAACAAAAAACACTAATTAGATCTGAAAACACAAAAAGTTGACCCAGCTCTAATTATTCCATTTATACAAGTGTTAGTTATTGTTTATTGCTGAATGAAAGAAGAAACTTCTGATGATGACACTGGAGAATGGGTCCCATGGAGAAATAAGCAGTATTCTGCAGAAAGGCAACAATCTTGACAACAGTGTCGTATAACCATTACTCTGGAAGATAATGCCAATCTAAAAATTATGAGCAGTATGTCAAAAATAATGGAATCCCTCTAGGGGAAAAATTATAAAAAGAAAATTGTTAGATGGCTTTGATATCCTGTGATGGGCAGCCTTTGCTACCTTATCAATTTCCCTCAACCATGTTTAATATAAACATGACAATTAAACATCTTGATAAACAAATGTCAGGAGTGCCCTATCTGCTAATTGTTTGTTACAGTGCTGCCTCTAATCCACAAAAGTACACACTTGCCTCTGTCTCCGGGCAGAACTGCTTTGTTAAATGTGTGCCAATGTGTGTCAATCTTCTGAAACAAAACAAAAAAGCAATCAAAATACTGTGGTTATTATACTGTGAAAATTGACTATCTGTGGTGCTTATTAATATTTTTGGAATAGTAGGACTGAGAGGAAATGCTGGAAAATTCTGTCACTGACTGGTACATTCTGACATTGATTGGCAAATGTCACAGTGAACTGAATGCCTTTGCCTGCTGTTTAAATTTCAGCTCTGTTTCTATAATTCAGTGGTAAATTATAACTTTCAGCTTGGCAGGTGGGTTAAGTCCAAAAAGGGGTTTGTGGTAGAAGCCCTTTCAGACTCTGTCTCTGAGATCCTACATGGCTGAGCACAGAGTAGGAAATCCAAATGTGGATCTATGCTAAACCACCTTGTCTCAACTTTAGTACTCAGTGATATGCTAGGATATTCCCCCTCCAATGGTCATTCAATTGTTGGGGGGATGGGAAGAGCCTTGGGTTATGTCCTTTGCAGACTGAGAACATCTTCCACTAAATTCTACTGGGATCCTCTAGAGGTTTCAGCAGATGATATCATTCAGCTATGTTTGGCCATGGGACATAAACATTTCCAGTCCTCTCTTCTTTCCATCAGTTATGGAATGCCCATGGGGAGCAAGCTATTGCAAAGCAAAGCAATGCAGCTTCATTTATATACCACTTCATATCATGCTATGGGATGTCTAACCGGTTTACAACTGTAAGCCCATTGCCCCCCAACAGTTGGGTACTCATTTTAGTGATCTCAGAAGGATGTAGGCCTGAGTCTATCCTGAGCCCTGGCTAGGACTGAACTCGCAACCTTGTGGTCTATGAGTGAGTGGCTGCAGTACAGGCATTTAACCACTGCGCCACCAGGGCTCACATAGTTACAGTCCACTGATGCAGCAGCAGTGTGTCAAGTATAGCCAAGTGTCTCTATCAAAGTTCTCTATCCAGCTCCTGAGTCTTACATATTGCAGTGCAATGGTTGGAGGCTTGGGATGTAGCAGAGGGTGGAAAAGATTTCAGACCTCTGCAGTGATCCCCCACACCCACAAAAGACATACTCGGGCATAAGATAGACTTAACAGCTGCATTTGTCATTAACAATATGCCTTACTCTGAGGCATGTCAGGCATAGTTACAGTCCATTGATGCAGCAGCAGTGTGTGAAGTATAGCCAAGTGTCTCTATCAAAGTTCTCTATCCAGCTCCTGAGTCTTACATATAAAAAAAATGCAAGTGAAAGGGATGAAAGAAGTTATATTAGAAATAGCACTTGTAACAAATTGTTGTAGTGTGAGGGTCTCCTTTACAGCATTCCACCCAACTCTCTGAACACTCCAAAATGTGGTATAACCAGCTATTTAGACCATTTACACAATGGTATTTTGAGTGTGATGGGAAAGGTCTTTAGAGAGCCAGCTTGTATTTCTTTACTCATCAGACACATAGATAACATTCCTCTTTCTCAATAGCATTAAGAAACATTGATTTTTCAATTGTCTCAACATTTCAGTTAAATCAGAAAGGTCCTGTTCAGCAGCCCTGATAAAACAAGAAGTACTCTAAATCTGACCCATTTTACATTTTAAATTCATTTAAAACATAGTATGATCGATCTATCTTGACTACAGGACATTGTCTGTATTTCTTAGCATAAGCAATAACCAGAAATCACCAAATTACATTTATTTATTTTTTATTTATCATTGGAGTTATCATACATATGTTCTCCTTTATCCAGGTACTGCACAGACTGAGACCTGCTGAGCTTCAGAAAGGTGCTGTATCTGCCTTCAGTCTGCAGCCTTTCCAATATGGCTGTTACAAGATAAAGGCTTCCTGGAATTCACAGGAAGAAAAGGTATTATTAATGAATGCTGTAGGAATCAAGAAGATACAATAACAGAGGTGCTGATGGTGGTGGTGATGGTGGTGTTGGTGATGCTGTGTGTCTTCAAGTTGTTTGTTAATGTTCAATTAGATATATATATATATTGGTATACTATTAACAGATTCACCCACTGCACAGTTTAATCGTATTAACAAAATTATAATGCAAAATTCAGAGCCATATACAAATACTGACTTGAAATTATCCACTCAGTTTTAGAGTACAAAATTTTAGAGTACGGGGGGGGGGGATTCTATTTCTTCAGAAGGGGCAAGAAATTCTTCAACAATTACTCAAGGTGAAGATATCTTTTAGCTGTGGCAGTACCATACCCTCCAACATTTCACAGATGAATACTGGGACACGTGTGACCTAGCAACATCAGAGTGTGGTCAAGATGGCAAAAGTTATTAAAGAAGCAGAACACACAAGCTAGGATGCTCCAGAAGTTTGCTTTTCACTGAGCCTGTTGGGAAGGGCAGGATTACACCCACTCCTCTCTCTCCCTGTTGAGTTAATTGAGTGCAAACTACTTTTGCACTTCAAACTCAGTTTGAAATAATTGAAATAAGCTGAGAACAAAGGGAGAAAGTGGAAGGAGGAGAAGGAAACTGGGACATTTTAAAATTATCTGAAAAAGAGGGATTACAGAGAATTAATTCAGGCTGTCCCTGCCAAATCAGGAAAGTTGGAAGATATTCAGTGTGATTCTTCCTCCTCCACACCTTTTCCCAAAATAAGTTTGCCCACCATTTTGTAACCTCTATCATATCCTGGGCCTAATGTCATTTTCCAAGGGAAATGGCACTCAGTGCATATTCACAAACAGATGGCAAATATTCTGAGACAATTCATCAAAATGCTCTTCTTTTTCTAAGCCCACAACAGAGAAAATATCATAGACATCTTCTCAGGGAAAAAGAATGCTGGTTAATTTTGTACTATTGTACTATTGTTGTGCCATCAAACCATTTTTTGTAGAGAAAGGTTTTGCCAGATTGAGTTCCAATGAGCAATCTTTCTCCTGCCTTTCAGGAGTGTTTCAGAGCTGAGCCTACAATGTGGTGGGGGGGAGAGAGTAGATGCTTTGTGAGTGTGTATATGTGAGGAGAAATTGGCATTGCTCCAAGAAGGTCATCTAAATAAATCATCACTAATGAGACTTCTGCCATTAAAAATAAAATATCATTGCCTTATCACTGTGCAATTTCTTACTAAATTAGTTTTCACATATGACATCAGCTGCAATCTTCCTATCATCATTGATGCATTGTGATAATAAAGAAGGGGGCCATGAAAACAGCATGAGCATCAGTAATCAGTAAATGCATGTAACATTCTCAAGGGCTGCATCTGCACTGTAGAAATAATCCAGTTTGACACCACTTTAACTGCCATGTCTCAATGCTATGGAATTCTGCGAATTGTAGATTGTTGTGGCACCAGACTTCTCTGACAGAGAAGGCTAAATGTCTCTCAAGAAAAAAGCAGTCACAGAAAGTAAAGACAGGGAAGACAACAAGATATAAAGGACAGCCCAAAAGTCAGGGGTCCAAGTAAGTTCAAAGAAAACATACACCAGCTTGATCAATGGCTAACTGAAACAAGGGGGGGGCATACACACTTGAGTTTGCCACATCAGGTGGTTAACTACTTGAATTATTATTATTATTATTATTATTATTATTATTATTATTATTATTATTATTTTCTTTCCTGCCTCTCCTCAAGGCATGAGATGGAGTACATGTTAAAATACAAAACACATTTTAAAAAGAAAACACATAAAACCAAAAGGTGAAATACAATACTATGAAACTATTAACATACATTCATACAAATATATTCATAAAAAGTCATACTTTAAAATTGACTGGATAGGCCTGCCAAGAGAGATCTATCTTTAATGTTGTTTTAAATGAAGTTAGCACCAGTGGCTCAGTGGTTAAGATGCTGACTCTGTTGATTGCAAGATTGGCAGGTTGGCAGTTCGAGACCCAGGTGCGGCCTGATGGGGTGAGCTCCTGTCACTAGTCCCAGCTTCTGCCAAACTAGCAGTTTGAAAGCATGCAAATGCAAGTAGATAAATAGGTATCACTTCGGTGAGTAGGTAAACAGCATCCTGTGCAATCATGATGGCCACAGGACTAACAGAGTAATATTTGACAAACAATGCTGGCTCTTGGATTTAATAATGGAGATGAGCACTGCCCCCTACAGTCAGACACAACTTGACAACCTTGTCAAAGAGGGAATACCTTTACCTTTACCTAACACCTATTTATGTCTTCACAATTGGTTTTGGATCCTCCTGCATTCCTATTTGACTAGACAACTCTTGGCAAAG